GAAGATGTCGATGGAACGTCCGAGGGAAGTTCCGTACGGCGGAGGGAGGACGTCAATGGAACGTCCGCCGGAAGTTCCATACGACGAGGAGGAGAAGAGGAAGACGAAGAAGGAGAAGAAGAAGAGGGAGAAGTCGCCTCGGTGTTGTCGACCGAGTAACGACGAGAAGAAGAAAAATGCGAGGAAGAAGACATTACCTAGGTCAGGAAGGAAATTGGAGGAGGAACAGAGTGGCCGGAGAAGCTCGAAGTTGAAACTGAAAAGGAAGACTGGAGAAGAGAGTGGGAAGAAAGACGAAGTGGCTATTTGAAGGGTAAGAATTTCAAAGGGCGGCCACGTGCCACCTTCTCGTTGGAGGGGCCGGAGGTGACGAGACGTGAAGGGACGCCGCATTTAATGCCTCAAAAGGCGGGGCGACGGTTCAGGTCTAGGGTTAGCTCACAGACGGCGCGTCTGCCCTAGGCTAGGGTCGAACGTCACATGACCCGGCCTGCTAAGCCGGAAGCCCGTAGTGGGCCATGGCCCCTGGGCCCACGAGATACGAGCTGGAAGCTTCTAGAAGCAACTCGGTAGAACCCGGCCCATCAAACGATATCGGCCGAGCTCACGAAGAAATTCCGGTCGCGGGGCCGGCGATCAGACTCGGCGACTCCCTCGACAGGAGGATCTCGCCATAGCAAGACTAGGGGTCCGTCTCACGGATCCGAGGTCGGGCGACAAAATAGTAAGAAATTGCGAGGTCGGATAAGAAAAGCACACTATTTATTCAAATCAACACGAAGATTACAAGGCCCGGGACTCGGCCGGTGCAAATTACAAGAGAAAAAAAGAGTCATGGCTTGGCTTCCTTCTCTGTCGACGAGCGGGCAGCCGGAGGACCCTCTAGGAAGTATTGGGGGCGGAATGGAAGAGGACTTGGCTCAGGCTCTGGCATCTCGTCCAGATACACGGCCGGCTTCCCATCGTCAATCATTTGTAAAGGCCTCTCCAGAGCGCTCGGCGACATGGCAACGCCGAAAAGCGGAGGAACCTCCCACACCTCTTCCTCCTCGGGAGCAGGGTTCCCGACCTCTGGTCCGGGATCCTCCACCACAGGCTCCATCTCCACATCGATAGACTCCTTGCACATCAGGTCCAGCATGTCCGGAGGCACCACGATAGGGTCTGAAGCCGAGTCGCCCACCAGACGACCTCCGTTAGCCAGCCTTTTCTGCCTCAGATGCTCCAGGTGAGCATGCTCCTTGTTGCGAATGGACCAGCGACGATCACCATCTCTGTAACTCATAGCGCCGTGCTTTCGCAAAAGGAAGAGTGTTGCGATTTGCATCAACTATGAAGGGTCTTTATATAGCCCAGGAAAGGCGAATATCTAGGCGATAATTACGGAGGGGACTGGTATAACTGAGCCGGATTGGACGGATGATGAGAATCTTTGTCAGAGATTAGTTCCATCAGATCCGCCCGGGAAGAGTAAGATTCGCACGCCAACATAAAAAAGATCGGATTTACCCGAGCTATGGGGAATCTTGCAGATGTCAGACTGAAAAGAGTCTGACGATGTGACCGACTCCTTGACCAGTCGTCCGAATGGGCACGCAACAAAACACGACAAAACACAAGGCAAAACGAAAATAGCGCTTTTATTATTATTATGGAAAAGTAGGGTACAAGCAGCAAGGAGCTTATTACAAATTATGGATATGCTCCTAAAAGGATTCCCCCGAGCTATGACCGACCCCGGTACATAAAGGTCACTCGCCAGGCGAGGAGGAGTCGCCCCCAAAGAATCCCCCCGATGGTCCAGGGGGAGAGGGGCAGAATGAGTCCCAAAAAGCTGGCATGAGCGGCGGCGGAATGGGTTCCTCATCATCCGGATACGCCTCCAGGTAGCGGGCGTAATCCTCGTCATCCATAAGACCCGTGACCGGCCCGTCCAGGTCGTCCAGCGGGATGGAGAAAGTCATTTTGAAAGTCAATTGTTCAGGGACGGCCACCTCCATAAAGGATCCATCCTGAGAAGTCACCCTGGCGGTTGCTGGAGTCGGCGGACGAAACAAAGGCAGCACGACTTCTCGCTGAGGTGGGGTCGGCGGCTGCGAAGCTGAGGAGGTGGCACCAGCAGGAGATCTCCGAGGAGCCAGACGAGAAGCTTTTTTCTTGCTTTCCCTCTCAGGTCGAGTCCGCTTAGAAGGCAGCGGACGCCAAGGAGACCCGAAGTCAATTCGCTTCCCTTTCAAGGGAGAGCGACCCATGATGAACTCGTGAGGATAAGAGAGAAGGAAGGAGGCCATTTATAGGTGCCAAGCCTGGATGAAAGAATCCCAACGGCTCCGTAAGATCCGGAGAGGATGGCTGATGATTCGGACGTTACAAGGGCTATTCAGGGCACGGATACGGTAATTAACGGAGACAAGCGGTTGCTACTTTTCCCAACCCAGGTTGGAGGACCGGGTATGGAAAAGTGAGGGACTAGTTGATGGGGTAAGGACCCCGGCCCAAGAGACAGGGGCCCAAAGAAAATAGAAGTGGGCCAGCATCGAGAGGAGCCCAAAGAGTAGTCAGGTCGAGTCCAGGAGTCGGCCGAGGCCCAAGCCCAGGAAAGGACCCGGCTCGAGGAGCCGTTGAGGGCATTAAAGGGGTTCCTTTAAAAGAGAGTCGTTGAAGCATTAAAAACATGACCCGGTCGGGCTATTACAAGCCCAGGAGAGCCGTTGGTTGACCGAGTAATGGCATCCAACGGCTCCACACCTTGATTAGCCTTGAAGTCGGCCATTAAAGGCCTTCAAGTCGGCAGAGGAGGAGCCACTATATAAAGGCTTCTCCATTTTTGTAAAAGACAGACATTTTTCGGACACCCGGAGGAGTGGAAAATAACAAAGAATTTCTGAGCACTGTTGTTATCTCTGAGTTAGACATAAATATTATTGAGAGGTGTATCCTCCGACCAAAGGTTGTGTTGGACCTCCTTGGACCCAAAAAACCCTAAAACCATCAATTACTATTATTATTATTATTATTAGTTGGAGGAGATTCGCAACAATATTACTACTTCGTTATGGGATGCTAGATCATGATTATCCTATTAATTTTAATTTATTTCAAAATGTTGATTCTTTTTTAAAACAAAATGTTAAAGTTTAATAGGTAAACAAATTAATTTAAATTTTATGAAGATGTCCTTTTTTGTCTTTTTACATTTATCAGCTTATCAAAAAGCTAATTTTACCAAACACTTTTAAGCATAACAGTTCTTCAATTTTCAAAATCTAGCTTATAGCTTTTAAGCTTTCAGCTACCTTTTCAGCTAGGTTTGTCAAACATACTCGAAGGAGTTCAGATGGTACTAGCTATTATTGTAAAAAAATCCCCTTCTATGTTCTCTTAAAACCATAGTAATGAAGGAGACTATAGAAAGTTTTTGTAACTTTATTCATAGATTAAATATTTGTAAAACTGATTTTTCTGTTCATATATTTTCTCAACCTACAGAAACATAAAAAACCAATAATGCCTCCACTAAGGCTCAAACTCACAACCTTCCAAATGGAAGTCCAACCCGGATACCATTAGACCACATAATCTTGGTATTATATCCTTAATTTAAATTTAAAAAACAAAAAAATCTTATGAGAGAATATCTTCTAATGCCTTAATTGTTCAGGGAACATATTATGATGTCTCATTCCTTCTCGAAACGTCTTTCGATTTCCCAATTCTTTCCTTCGAGGAACATTATTTTTCTTCATTTTCTTACTGATACAGTATATACGACGGGGTATTCTACTATACTGTATTGTAAACAAAGTACTTACGCTCGGGATCCTTCGACACTGGGTCGGTAGTTTCCGGGCATATAGTACGGGTGTCGAGTAGGTGAAAAGTCCCCCCTCAGAAATAAATGCGGTATTTATGCGAGGGGCGAGGAGACAAATCCCGGATTCTCAGCATGGAGGGCACGTAGTGATAATGCACGGGCTCTGACCGGGGCCGAAACGATTTTGATGTGTGCTGCAATATTCCTGACAAGCCAAGGTACTTAGCGGGGCTCAGTTGCTTGGTCGGTCCTCTATACCAGCCCCTAGGGGACTTGCAGGCTCATTCATCGGTAAGGTCAGTAAACTTGGGTGGTTGGGAAGCCAAGGAACATGGTCAGATCAGGTCTGGTCGTTATCCCCGAGGGCATAGGGTTTGTTACCGACCATCCGGGGTCTGGTAATTATCCTATCACTTACTTCACAATTGCGTAACTTCATTAGGCAACTCAATACTCAAACAGGTTTTTTTTTAGGCCAGTTATGATAGGCCATTGTTATGCCATGGACGCGGGTCCACCTTGCAAGGTGGACTCAAGTCAAAACAATGAAGTTCGCGCGTGTTAAAATAAATGTGTCGTTAGTGGCACCGTTTCATCAACCAATGATTTTTATGTAATTGTGAATATAAAGTTCTTTAATTGTAAATATAGACTTATGAAATTGTGAATATAGCGTTCAAAAATTGTAAATATAGAATTCAAAAATTGTGAATATTGAGTTCTGTAATTTTGTATATTGAAATCTAAAATTGTGAACTATCCTAATTAATTTGTATTATTTATTAGGATAACAATGATATTTTTGTAAGCTTATTTGATTTTAAATTGATTTTTTAAACTATAATTATTTAATTATTAAGATTGATTATTTTACATTTACGAAAACACTTAGAGTTTTTTTATATAATTAATTATTGTTGTGTATGTAAAATTGTTAAAAGTTTGTACGTGAATCTTGTTTCAAGTTATTTGAGATTATAAATTTTAATTTTTTTTCTTATGTAAATTAAATTTTAGACATTAAAATATATGTTAACTTCAAGTAATTAAGACCTATTAATTTTTGTCATGGACCTATAAAATGATAAGATGGATGAGACATGATTTTGACAAGCAATAGTTGTATAAGACAAAAAAGATACATCAAATGATTTCATTACTAGCTAACACTTTTAAAGATGGCCGGTCATAAGCATTCTTGCGTGATGTCGAATCGGCAAAACGGACAGCTTCCCTGTTGTTGGAGCCATGAAGCAATGCAGTTATGGTGAAAGGTATGAGAACATGGCAATGGCGTAATATTGACTCCCGCTGAGAACTCTTCCAAACAAATCGAACACATCACTGATTCCTCCTCTCCACTACTCTTGAACCTTTCTTGCTTCAACCCGTTAATCTCTTCCAAACTCAAACCCCTTGGCACCTTCAACTCCTCCTCATCATCATTGTCATCATCATTACCAAAGTATAAGACTACCCCATCATCATCATCATCAAAATTAGCCCGCACGCCCGTGTAATCTGGTACTTGGTAATCTAGCGTTGAGTGCAGTTCTGGCTCATTAATCTCCACAAAAGCCGTGACTTTGTATGCACCGCCGCCATTGTCGCCATTGAAGCGGTGCGCAACTCGTTGCGCGTACACTACGCAGATTCGTAGGGAAAGCTGGGTGCATAAATAGGGAGACAATCCCGGCAGCCATTGACGAATTTGGTCTCTCAAGTCACGATAGGACAACCTAGGAGAATGGAAACAAGCGTAGGAGTCGGAGCTTGTCTCGTAGAAATCAACAACCTGGCCCTGCAGATTTCTCAAGAATATCCACCGATTGTATTTCAAAACAACTTCAATAATTACCACCGTTGTTGGATCGGCCACCCCAAAACACAACGTCGACTTAAACGAAATTCTCATCGAGGGTCGGTAGTGTACATGTGTCGCCATTGATATGATATGATATGAATATGAATATATGATAGGATACGATGGAAATTGAAGAAGGAGATTGTATTTATACTTCTGAAAGCTACAAGCCTACTAAACTTTATTTATAGCACTTGCTTATATTTTGATTAGGATTAGGATTATGAATAGGAAACCGAGTCGAAATTCATTTTAAAACTTAATGGATATGATACTTCTTGTCCAATTTTTTTGGGATTAAATATTTTGATTAGGATTAGGAATAGGAAACCTCATGTAATCAACATTCCCAACATTCACTTGAAATAATCAGCAGTGTGAAAAAACTTTTTTTTTTAATAATTGTGAAAATTTTACAAAATGATCAATTTGTTATTGTGTGTCAATAATATTAGAAGAAATGAAAAAAGTGAATATTAAAAATGTTTGTAAAAAAAATAAAGAAATCAAGAAACTCAGAAAAATAGTCAACCTCTTTCGTTAGATAAGTATAAAACATATATATTTATAACACTCTCATTTCACCATTATTTTACCATGCTCCTACCTCGTTAAAATTATCATAAAAAAAAGCTCGTGTGATAAAACTAGTCTAGGAAAATAGTACATGATTGACAGTAAGGCGATCTGCAAATCTTGCGGCTCATATTGTTGCTCGGGAGGCCTTTTCTATGTCAGGTTGCGGGGAGTGGTTTGATACGTCTCATTTTTTTTCTTGTAGACGGTCTTGATGATGATTTAATGAATTAAGTAGAGTGTACAAGGTCCAAAGCGTGTTTTCCCCTACTTGTTAGACTACAATAATGGTACTAACGGCCTCCTAATAAGTGCAACGGCTCCCTTCCATAAGTGTCAAAGCTTCTCAGTAATTGTTGTATGCTCTCCTACATAACTGCTCTTTGATGAGTCGGTGTCCTACTATAAGTGCATTGGAATTTAAGAACCGTTCCACCTTCTCCTGCTTCACTCTTGACCGTTACCAACTTACCGTGTTGATTGTTTTGACTGCTTTGGGTCAATCCAAATGTGTTTCAGGTCGGGTCTAATGACTAATCTAACAAGCTAAGGCAGTAATGGTACAGTATACTCATTAAATATCCCGTCACCAACCCCTACCCGCAGACTACGAGGGTAGAGAAGTTGGTTGTCATGACAAAAAGGCTATGTTTTTTTTTTGAATGCTAATTAAGGGATGGGCTTTTTGTCATTTTCATAATATCTATAAACATTTTTGTTAACCGTCTTCTGCTCTTTGCATGAAACCAAAGCTCTATTCTTCAATTCTTTCTCTATATCTAAACTTTAAGTGCATAAATTTGCACCTTAATGTGCATAAATTTACTCCTTAATGTGCATAAATTTGTAAAACTTTGAAACTGTGAAGATGAAATAACTCTAGGTGCATGCATAATGTTGCTTCTTAAGGTGCATAAGTTTGCACCTTAAGGTGCATAAATTTACAAAACTTTGAAACTGCAAAACTGAAACTCCAGTTGTATAATTTTTTGCTTCTTAAGGTGCATAAGATTGCACCTTAAGGTGCATAAATTTTGTAAAATTTTAAAACCACGAAGCTAAAATTCCAATTGCAAAATTTTGCTCTTTAAGGTGCATAAGTTTGCGCCTTAAGGTGCATAATTTGCAAAACTTTGAAAATGGTTCACACATAATCTATTCTTTCATGCATAAGCTCTTAAACTTCTTCTCGTCTGTTAGTGATTAATTGATATATTGAAGATGCAAAGACAGCAGGAAGTAGTGGAGAAGATGTTGTAGCTTTAGAGATCGAGTGATCAAGAGCTATTGATTATCCCTTTAATAAATTTTCCCTATATTCTAGAAAATAAAGCTAAGTAATTTATATGAAACATATTTTGTGATTCAATTATTTTTTAAAAATAATTTAATTTACTTTTCTTATGAAATATATATTGTGACTCAAATTACTCTATAAAAACTTGAAATTGACCCAGCTAAAAGAAAAAGTATTTATAAATATCATACCAATATATAATATGTGTGATTTATAATGTGTTTTCTATTTGAACTATTTTATCTGAGTGTGTATTATATTTTGTTATAAATATGTTTAACGTGTTACGTTTTGAAGTATTCTGATTTCTCGCTCAATCAAAAAGATTTTTAACATACTCTACCCCTATTTAATTTGTAAGTTTTGTTGTATAAATCTTATTGTTATATGTTTCTTTGATTTTAAATTGATTATTCGTTTTTATAAATTATAATTATTTATTTATGAACGCACTGATACAATTATTGATATTTTGCATTTCGAAAAGCACTTGCAATCTTTTTTAATGATTATTATTGTGTATGCATGTAAAATTGTTAAAAATTGTTAATCTTATTTCTAATTATTTGACATTAGTATTTTTTTTTTCTTTATGTAAATTAAACTTTAACATTAAAATGTATGTTAACTTCATTTAAGGTCTATTATTTTTTGTCATGTCATAGACCTATTAAATGATAAGATCTGACATGATTTTCACAAGCAGTAGTTGTACGTATAAGAGAAAAAATATACATCAAATGATTTCATTTATAGCTGCGCTAACACTACATTTAAAGATGGTGATGAGCATTCTTGCGAGATGTCGAATCGGCAAAGCGGGCAACTTGCATGTTTCTGGAGCCACGAAGCAATGCAGTTATGGTGAAAGGTGTGAGAACATGGCAATGGCGTAATCTTAACTCCCGTCGAGAACTCTTCCAAACAAATCGAACACATTAATGATTCCTCATCTACAGCAGTACCACTGTTGAAACTTTCTTGCTTTAACCCGTTAATCTCATCTCAACTCAAACCCCTTAGCAGCTTCTCGTCGTCCTCATCATCGTTTTCATAGTATATGACTACTCCGCCATCATCATTATTATAATCAAAATCAACCCGCATGCCCGTGTCATCGTCTTCGTCGTCTGTTGGTTGGATATGTGGCTCCTTAATCTCCACAAAAGCCGTGACTTTGTTTGCACCGGTACCACCATTGTTATTGGCAACTGCAACTTTCCGCGAGATTCGTTGGGAAAGCTTGGTGTATGAGGAGGGAGACAATCCCGGCAGCCGCAGACGAATTTGGTCTCTCAAGTACTCTTCAGACGACAACCTAGGAGAATCGAAACAAGCGTAGGAGACGGAGCTTGTCTCGTAGGAATCAACAAGCTCGCCCCGCCGATTTCTCAAGAATATCAACCGTTCGAGTTTCAAAAAGACTTCTATAGTTAGCAGCGTTGTTGGATCGGCCAGCCCAAAACACAACGTCGACTCAAACGAACATCGTCTGATCCTGGGTTGATAGTGTACATATGTCGCCATTGATATGATACGATGGAACCAATAATGAATTGAAGGAGATCGATATGATATACTACTGAAAGCTACAAGCCTGGCTACTTAACTTTATTTATAGCCCTTACATATATTTTGATTAGGATTAAGATTAGGAATAGGATACGTCGTCCAAATTTTACAACTTAATGGATATGATACTGCTTGTCCAATTCTTTTTGGGATTAAATATTTTGATTAGGATTAGGAATAGGAACCTCATGTAATCAACAATATTACAACAATCCTAACATTTCTAGAAATCATTATTTTTTTTTTTAATAATTGAGAAAATTTTATAAAATATCAATTTGTAATTGTGTCAATAATAATAGAAGAAATGAAAAAAGTGAATATTGAAAATGTTTGTAAAAATTAAAGAAATCAAGAAACTCAGAAAAAAGAGTAAAATACCCAAAATGGTCCCTCGACTATAGCTAAATTCATAAATTGATCCTCGACTTTCAATTTCAACCAATTAAGTCCTTAACTTTGTAATTTTGACACGATTTGGTCCTCAATCTATTTGACCGTTTGTTGACCGTGATCGACGATCTCCAGAAGAACCTTCAGCTCTCGTCGGAGCACGTGGAGGCCTCCAGGATGACGTTGCACTGGTTTGGAAACACGTCGTCTTCTTCGCTCTGGTACGAACTCAACTACATTGAATCCAAAGGGAGGATGAAGAAAGGCGACCGGATTTGGTAGATTGCTTTTTGACAGTGGATTTAAATGTAACAGTGCGGTCTGGAAATGCAACCAGAACTTTAAAAAATCGACGATGAACCATGAAATTGCATATATATCCTCAAAAATCACAGTCAACAAATGGTCAAATAGACAGAGGACCAAATTGTGTTAAAATTATAAAGTTAAGGACTTAATTGGTTAAAATTAAAAGTCGATGACCAATTTGTGAATTTAGCTATAGTCGAGGGACCATTTTGGGTATTTACTCCAGAAAAAATGGTCTACCTCTTTCATTAGATAAGTATAAATCATATATTTATAACACTCCCATTATCTTACCATGTTCTTACTTCGTTAAAAATTACAATGCAGGTCAATAGCGCCTCCACTGAGTCTCGAACCCACAACCTTCCATGTGGAGTTCAACTTGATATCATTAGACCACAAGGTATTTCAAAACAACTTCTATAATTAGCATTATTGTTGGATCGGCCAGCCCAAAACACAACATCGACTCAAACGAAGATGTGATCGAGGGGAGTAGTTATGTTGTGCATCCGTATGCAAAAACGACGTCGTTATATTAAAAACGCGCGTCTCTCCTTAAAAAAAATCAGGTTCGATTCCCAACAACAGCATTATGTTGTTCATTCATTATGGAATTTTAGTTCATAGATTATGGAATTTTAGTTCATTGATTCTGGAATTATAGTTCATCGATTCTGGAATTGTAGTTCATCGATTCTGAAATTTTAGTTCATAGATGCTAAAATTATAGTTCATCGATTCTAGAATTTTAGTTCATATGTTGTTGCTGGGAGTCGAGGAATTGAAATTGTACATGATTAACGATAAATATGTTACCGGAGTATATTTTTTAAAAAATTTGTTAAGTAGAGTGTACAACGTCTAGAGCGTGTTTTCCCCTACTTGTTACATAGACTCAACTTTTATAATGTACAATAGTATGTAACAGCTA